CAAATGCCTTCATAAAAAACATAAGAGCAATTTACTGGCTCGATGGTGGCCATTCTGGAGGAAGCAATACTTGGGTGACCTACCCTGATGTGCTGAAAGATTTTTCAGAGACTGGGATTTCAGTTAATGCACATGTTACACCATATCAGGTATTTGATACAATGAGGGCATGGATTGGAAAAGAGCATAAGAGATTCGTGCAAATTCTGGAGGAGCTTGGTGTAAATGTAAATAGCCAGCTTCATTTTGCTGATGAAGCACCTTCCTTAGATAACCACTTCAGAGTTCATGAAGTATTCTGACACAGTGAATATATCAAAATACTCTTGTTAACTGCAAAAATACATTTTAAACTTTGACTTGACAGTTTGAGAATGTGCTTTCTCCTAAGTCATGGAAAGGCTTAATGCTGTGTGCGCTAATACTTACTTTTTAAGACCTTCAGTGAAGCCAATCTTGTCTTGCTTTTGCAACTGAGGAGCAACAACAAATTCCTGGCTTAAAGAAATTATTTTGTTCTGGTTGAAACAATAAGATCCCTGAGGAAAAGCCACACCAGTTCATCTGACTAATTTTCTGAACATCAATTGGAACTAATGTTTGCTTTACAAGTGTGGATTTTTGTGAGCGGAATATTCAGATCCGGGCTCAATAATTTGCATCCTAAAATCTTTTGGATATCATACATTTATGAGTGTTGAGTATTTTTGAATGATTAGTCGCTTTTATTCTTAAAACTAAAGAATAAAAGCGACTAATCATTCAAAAATACTCAACACTCAATTCTAGAACTAAAGAACTATGAGTTAACGTGGATTATGTTGCTAACATAAAGGGGATTTAGCCCCTTGGCATATCCATAGCACAAGCAATGCAGTAAGTTGGTAATGTTGGCACGGACTGTGTCAACATTACCAGCTTACTGCATTGCTTGTGCTATGGATATGCCAAGGGGCTAAATATTCATTACAACTAAGTATAAATGACACTTTGCATGGGAAATAAGGTGCATAATGACTATACTGTTGCCTTAGAGGTGCTGTGCAACTTCTAACCATTGCTGAACATCTACTAGTGAATAACCTTTTTTAAGACTTAAGAGTATTAAACATCTATTTTTGTTAAGTGACCAAGAATGTATTATCTTGCTGCTGTTTCAACATTCCCTATTAATACGAAAGCTTGATTTAAACTTAATGCATTTTTGAACTTTTATATTGTGAGACTGTTAGGCAATTGTGGCAAATGTGTTTTGCTAAAAATCAAACCACAGGTTCTTACAGGTTGATGTTACAGGTTATGGTACATCTTAGAGCTATCGTTAAAGTGACTGCAGCATCCATAGACTATCTCTTACGAGTTCCTGTTACCAAATGGCAATCATACAGATTATGAGGGTTTTTTGTGTAGCTAGGATACCCAGTTTGCATTACTGAATGTTAGGAGCAGTTTTGCAGTTAGCACATTCCAATCATATGTTTCTGCAGCACTTTTGATTTACTTATGAGAAGTAAGCAAAGTTTTTGCACTTCCATTTGTGGAGCTCACTTTACAAAATAATTGAAAGCCATTCCTGTAGGGGTGGCTTAACCATCGTGTGTTGTGACCAAAATATGCAGATTTTAGCAGTGACAGTTCTAGTATCAATTTGAAAGCTGATGTTGACCAGAATAGTGGAATAAGACTAACTTCCATAGTATGAACATGTTAAGTTGGTTTTCTGTGCCAATAATTTTTCCCCCCAGTGTGGCATACAGGAAACTGCTGTTGGCCTTTGAAAGCTGCTTTTATGAATAAGCAATTCCTTTTCCAAACATTAAGTGTTGATATATTTTGAAACGATTCTCTTACCAGTTAAGCAACTGGCAACCACTTTTTCACTCTTCAAATTATTTTCAGTTTTAATTAAGAATGTTCATATCGAGTCACCATTCTTAATTAAAACTGAAAATAATTTGAAGAGTGAAAAAGTCGTGACTAGTTGTTCCAGTCAGTACTTAAGCTGTTCTGATTGTTGGACATCTATTTTACAGTGTTTTTAAAAAGGTTGCCATGTCGGAATGAGACCGTTCAGAGTTGTCACACAAACGAACATTGAATAAATGCATCCTTAGATTTCTATAACCAAGATGAAAGATTTCTAGTGTTTAAGGAAGAATATATTAAATCATGTTCTGACCTTGAAACATCATCCCCTTGGGCAAAAAGCAAAGGAGTAGAATCCTGTGCTGCTGCTCCACTTAATGGGATATCTTTTAGGTGTCGACTAATATAAAAGGTGATATTCTCCTTTTTTCCCTCTTACATCCCACTTCGTCCCTCGATCAGTTCCAGAGAGTTGGGGGATCCTCCAGAACATCATAGAACACAATGTGGGGGATTACAGAGGGAAGAGGGAGAAAATTGCCTCTCCATGTCTTACGCTAGCAGATGCCTCTCCTGTGTCAGAAGCTGTTACATAATCATAGAGGAAGCATTGGATTTCATTCAGTGACTATAATGCTTGCCTGTTTTACAGTCATTAAGAGTATTGTTACCCATTCATGTGACAGAATGCTGTTTTCTCTAAATTGCTGCTGTTGACAAAAGGAGCTCACTGAATAATTTCTCCAGTGTTCCAAGAGGTTCCTCCCACCTCCTGCACAGACCGTTGTTTCTCTAATAGTGGTGCTTTCATTAGTGTTCCATGCTTCATCAGATAAATCCACAGCTCTTGACTAGTTGCTCTCTTTTAAGTACTCCCATTTGACGGCAGTAGGTTGAGCAAATAGCAGCAAAAAAAGAAAGCACTAGTTTAAAGCTGCTTGCTTTAAACTAGCCAGTCCCCTTCAAACACTCTGTAGGTTTTGGTCTAGAAATGTAAATGTTACCTTCTCATATACCAAGTATGTCTATACAGGAGACTTAATCATCTACCAAGGCAAGGTGGACTAATTAAGTTTGGCTTTAAGAAACAACCAGGCAAATTTAAAGTGCCGTATTTTTCACTCTATAGGACGCACCGGACCATAGGAGGGGGGAGAACGGGGAAATTTTTTTTTCTTGTTCTGCCCCTCTAAAACAAGGTGCGTTCAAGAGCAGGTCAGGGAACAGCGCAAAGGCTGCGCACAGCCTTGCCGCTGCCCCCCAAGCTTGTGGACCTGGCGGTGGGGGGAAGCGCTGCTTTCCCCCACCGCCAGCCTCAAAAATCCCTGAAGCCTTTGGAGCGCGGCTGCACTCCAAAGGCTTGAGGCTTCGGGGACAGCCTTTCAAGCCTCCGCAGGGCAGCAGGGTGAAGGCTTTGCGCAGCCACCCCCAAGCTAGAACAGCGAGACGGAGGGCTGCGCAGCGCCCCGTCTCCCTGTTTTGGCTTCGGGGACAGCCTTTCAAGCGGAGGCTTTGCGCAGCCTCCCCGAAGCTAGAACAGCTTCGGGCTGCAGGCTGCTATCCGCAAGCCTTGGAAGCCCGGTGGGAACTCCCGCCGGGCTCCGAAGGCTTGCGGATAGCTTCCTGAAGCCTGGAGAGCGAGAGGGGTCGGTGCACACCGACCCCTCTCACTCTCCAGGCTTCAGTGAAAGCCTGCATTCGCTCCATAGGACGCACACACATTTCCCCTTCATTTTTGGAGGGGGGAAAGTGTGTCCTATAGAGCGAAAAATACGGTACTTTCCCATTGAAATGTGGAATATACCGTATTTTTCGCTCCATAGGACGCATTTTCCCCCTCCAAAAATTAAGGGGAAATGTGTGTGCATCCTATAGAGCGAATGCAGGCTGTGTGGCTATGCCCAAAGCCAGAACAGGGAGACGGAGCGCTGCGGAGCGCTCCATCTCGCTCTTCTAGCTTGGCGTTAGCTTTGCAAAACCTCTGCAGGGCAGTGGGGTGCCTTCACCCCGCTGCCCTGCGGAGGCTACAAGGGCTGTCCCCGAAGCCTCAATTTGGAGTGCAGCAGGAACTCGCGCTGTGCTCCAAAGGCTTTGGGTCAGCAAAAGGAACCCGAGGAATCCTGGGTTGCGTCCGGTGCGTCCTATAGAGCGAAAAATATGGTACTTTCAGCTTCATAAATTTAGACTGAATGCTTACACCTGCATCTATTTTTAAAATGCAAGTGTTACACCATCTTGAATGAGTTTACATTTAAGATTTTGTAGTAGACAGCCCAAAAATGCTTATGGTAGACCACTTTTCAAACAGAAGCTGAAGAGTAGAGCTAAACCCAAAAGTGTTCTGGTTATAGAATCCCTTGCACAAATATGAGCATGGCTATAGGAGCTCCCTATTACGGCACCATATGAATGTTTGCACCTGCATTTTAAGGTCAGTTCCAGCATCTGTTGTCTTCCTTGCACAGTTCACTGGCTCAAACCTTGTGATTTGCAAGCTAAAATTTCATATTTTGAAATAAAAACGTAAAGACATTTCTAGAAAGTGGGAATAGAAGTTAATGAGCAGAAATGTGTTTTGTCATGAGGATAATGATGTTAGGATGTTCTGCTCAAACGGGAATAAGATCTTGGAAGAAATAAAACAGGTTTAATAAAGCACTGAGGGGGTGCTCAGTGGATTATCAGAGTGGTATCTACTGGAGCCAGATATTTGATAAGGCACGACCTGCTAATTTGTAGCCCCCAGCATCAATCCCATAATAACTGCAGTTGTTATTTTGCAATACTTTATCTTGACTCAGTTTCAACTTCATGTAGAAAAGCAGCCATTAAACTCTGTTCAATACCCACTCATGGATTCTGCCAAGTGAATTGTGTAGGCTTTGCTTGTATAAACTTTGTATTTCAGTTCGGGGGGGGGGGGAACTTTACTGTTTTTTATTCTTCTTTATATATTTAAAATTACCTGGTCCAGAGAGCCCTGTGTGCAAATAGTTGCTTGAAGCTACCACAAACTTACAGAGCAGTTTTTAGAAGAAATGTTAGAGGAAAGAAGCACCACCCACATCTCTTTGTATTGTGTAATCTTAACTATTTAAAACAAGTTTTAAATTCTTTTGGTGACAAATTATGTGTCTATTCATTAATGGACCAGTACTCCAGCTTTACTTTTATATAAACTTGGGGCAAAGTTCCAACAAACACACACATAAAGTGGGGAGTGGTGAACAATGGATGTACCCATGGCAAAGTATCTATGTGCAATGTCTGTAGGCCAGCTCATGAGATGTCTGTAAAAAAAAACTATTCATAGTTAGTACTGTAGGTTTTTTCTTGAATCCGTAAAACCATTCTCCGGCCGTAAAAGTCTCTGTATTCCTCTGGTAGCTCTTCTAGGGTTTTCAGTGCCCTGTCTAAAATCTGTACTGCTCTTGAGGCTGCCGCAAGATCTTTGTTTCCATAGGTGTCTGTCTTATCATAGCAATTCGAAGGAAGGTGTTTCCAGAAAACATTGACTCCCACGCCAAACTCCTCAGAAGTCACATTATGGAACCACAAAGCTATAAGGAGAGAGAGAAAAACTTTGAATGAAAATGCCTTACAGACAATGCAGTAACTAGAATCTGTAAGATATTGCTGTGAACAGTTAAAGAGAATGCTGTTCCAAATGCTCTAGTTTTGTTTTTAAAAAATAAAATACCAATTTTTATGGCTAGCAAACAGTAATTGTACTTTAAGAATGTTTCAGCTTGGCAGAGGCTGCTATATTTTTAGTATTCAGCCTTCAGTATTTTGTGTAAATATTAATTATATGCACAGTTAGGTGGAGCTTATGATTTTCTACAGCTAAGACCACAGTATGACACTATTCTCAGTCACCCAGCCCTAAGATCCTGCGTGACTAATGCAATACCTAGGAGCAGGGCTATGTAATGCCCTCACCAAGCGGCATATAATATAGCACGCCTTCCATGCAATCTGGACCTGCCAAGTGCTTGACACCTACCCCAGTTTCCACAGCCCAAGCCTGGCAGCAAAAATAGGAGGTTTATTTATTTGCTAGTGGTCTGCTTTGCCATGGGCAGGAAGCTAGGTTTGATTTAGTGGCTCATAATTTGCAGAGGCCTGATTTAAGCATAAATTGAAATAAAGACTCCCAACGACACCTTTTGAAGAAGACAGTATTTTAACCTCAAACCAGCAAAGATCAGTCCATAGAAATGAGTCCTTATCTTAATAGTATTCAGACATAGCCTTTTGTAAGTCTTCAGGGACTTACTTTTCACTGTTTAAAGGAAGAGAACTTGAAAAACCTGTATAGCAGAGGACTCAGGTTGCTAAAATGCAGCACCATGGTTAATTGAAAAAAATGGCAGTAAGTGTTAAGGGGGGAAATGTGATTTTCTGCTTTATACACCAATCCTCATTTCCAGAAATGTTATATAATTCGGTCAACATTGCATTCAAGCATTATACTGAAAGGAAGCCTTCCGTTTTCTAAGAAAACTGAAGTGCTAAGTTTGTAACAGTCCAACTCTGCCATTTTTCCAGGTAGGCTAGATTAATCACACTTATGACAAAACAAAGACTTGTGAATGCAACTATTTCCTCACCTGAGCATTAATGCTGTCTTAAACTGCATGTCATGTATTCTGATGCAAGTACATTGATTAGATTTTAGTCTGCCTGTGTGCAATTTAAATACTTAAACCCTGTTGAGGAGAGCAGATAGCTACAACTGCCTAGTGTCCTCTAGGACAGGAGGAGAGACTCCACAGACCTTCCAGAAGTTGCTGGACTGCAATTCTTATCCTGGACCACTGACCATGCTGCCTGGGGCCCAAGATCATATTGCGGGTCACAGGCTCTGGAGCAGAGCTTTCCAAACTTTTCATGTTGATGACACACTTTTTAGACATGCATCATTTTGCGGCACAGTAATTCAGTTTTAAGGGATGCAGGTGGCGTTGTACATTAAACCACAGAGCCTAGGACTTGCCAATCAGAAGGTCGGCGGTTCAAATCCCCGCGGTGGGGTGAGCTCCCGTTGCTCGGTCCCAGCTCCTGCCAACCTAGCAGTTCGAAAGCACACCAGTGCAGTGTGGCGAGAAGGTAAACGGCGTTTCCATGCGCTGCTCTGGTTCGCCAGAAGCGGCTTAATCATGCTGTCCACGTGACCTGGAAGCTGTACGCCGGCTCCCTTGGCCAATAAAGCGAGATGAGAGCTGCAACCCTAGAGTCGGTCACGACTGGACCTAATGGTCAGGGGTCCCTTTACCTTTACCTTTAATTCAGTTTTATGAGCAAACCAGAGGTTAAACTAACCCCTTACAAGGGATGTGGATGCGTATCACACAACACACCTACACACTGCAGCCAAAGAAAACGGGCGTGTGCAGCTGTCTGCAACGCTGTCAGCACTTTGCAATGCTATTATTATTATTATTATTATTATTATTATTATTATTACGCTAACATAATTCTGCCAGGTCAGTTTTGAAACGAGCTATATTGAAAATGTATCCACATGCAAAGCATACCCAATACATAATTTTTGTAGGTGTGATGCAGCATTCATTTGGGTGCAGTTCCTCTTGGAAAAATCCACAGCGACACACGCATGGCTGCACCATGAGATTTAAGCTGATTAATCATACCACCAGAAGTTTTTTGGATTGTTACATACATTGTACACCTTTAGCCCCTTAAACAGCAATCCAAGAAGTAATGGAGGAAAACAAAAGGAGATTTCTGTGCCCTCTTACCTGGAATAAACAAGACATCTCCTGCATTTAGCTGGCATTCATAACGTCTGGCCTTGACAAAGAGAGGGTATTTTTTCAAATCTGGCTCGTCCACATCTAGCACCTCTGACTTGGTACCTAATGAAGATGTGAACAAACAATGGACATGACTGTTTTGCTATTCGATTACTCTCAGGGATGCAAACATACTATGCAGGTATCCCAATGTGGGAAAAGGCAGAGAGGAAAAACTGCATGTGTGTGTATACACTCCTGTGTGCTGAAGGCTGTCAATAGTACCCTATTTCTATTACTCTAGCGGACATTTGCAGCTATCAAATATAAGTGAATCCAATTCAGCCATGGTGTACTTTTAAAGGAAACATTCATCAGAACGGCTGACATACCCTCAATCCTAAAAATACTAGAACCTGTTTTCACTGAAAGTGAAGGGACAGGATACCCAAATCCTGTCTGTGAAATCACCCCAGGCCTCAAAACTGTCCAAAATTCCTTTTGTCTTCTAAAAATCCACAGTTAAAGCTTTCCTCTGCTTATTCTCACAAGATGATGTGCATAGGCAAACCGTTACTTTTTATCAGTACAAGAAGGCTTCAAAAAGCTAATGAATCGGCTCTGTTCAAAGCAAGGCCTGAGAACTGAATCTTCTCTCATTCCAGTTGCAACACATCTGAACATGCTGAACGCAAGGCTTCTCTCATTCCCCCTTTCCTCGGAAGGGTGCCAAGGGGAGCTTTCTGTTCATGCTCAGAGGAACTCATGGGCAGGACTCCTGAGGGAGGAGAAAAGGGGAGGGAACTGGAAGGGATATATACTCTGTGCACATGACTGTGAACTCGTGCATATTTTTGTGAACTATCACACTTGCTCCTTCTACCAGTTCATGGATGGTAGAAATAAAGCTTTTTCTCTGAAACTATTCCTTGAGTGTCTGTTGACTCCCATTTTCCCTTTCCCGGGCACAATATTTTTCCCACCCAAGGGCAAAGCCTCATAAGGCTACAAAAGTAAACATAGCACAACAGGATTTTGCTACAAGCCTGTTATGTTCCTCCACTCAAGTGATTTCCGTAAAGATTGCTTGAATGTATGGATCATTCTGAACAGAATCTTCTACTCAGTCTCATCTAGAATGCAAACTGCCAATCGGAGTAACTGTCAAATGATCTCTACCAATTTGCACCTGGTTCATAAGTTGCCTACTCTGTCTAGCTATCTCAGTGGGGAAAAGGACTGGATTTGTCTGGTTGGGGTTTGGGGTGTTCCCCCCTTTTTTATAGCTTGGAAGTGACTAAGTGCTGACCCAGGAGATGTGGAGCTGTTTAGAAAGCAATGTGCTCACAATCCTAGGAAATGCTGTTTTTTAAAAAAGGCATCCTGAAAATTACAGGGCAGTTCGCTTAACATCTGGTCTGTAAGAAAAGTGGAATAAAGCATTACTTAGTATGGAATAACCCTGAGATTAAGAGTCTCATGCTGTACCAGCTGGGCTATCCCAGGGCCCAATGACCATCAATTGTTATGGCTAAATGGAAACTTCAGGTTCAGAGGCAGTTTGACAGCAAATAGCAGTTGCTGGAGAGCAACAGCAAGGAAATGTTGCTCTTGTCATGCCCTGCTTCACGTGGGCTCGCCAGAGGCATCTGGTGGGTCGCCGTGGGACAGGATAGGCCTTTGGTTTGATCCAGCAGGTCATGTGAGTACTAAGCTGCCCACCACTGAAGAAAATGGGTTGTATCCAGCTAAGTCAGAGCAGGCCCACTGAAATCAATGGACAGGACTAATTGAAGCTCATTGACTTCAGTGGATCTGCTCTGGTCTAGCTAGATAAAACTCCAAGGGCAGAATCCATTGTTAGGAAGGCAGACTTCCATTTATGCAACTGGATTTCTCCTTTCGCTTGTGTGCCCCCCAAATCTGCTCTGCAGGGTCTCCATTGGAGTAGTTTCTGGGGGGAGGTGTCGCAGGTGGGACTGGGGGGAAGGAGGAGGCAGGGAGGGGGAGTCCCACTGCACAAGTGAAAGTGAGTTCCTGTGGCATGTACCATACCTGATAAATACAAATATGGTGCATCACGAGGACTGTACAGTACAACCTTCTTCTTTCCAGTCACCTGAATTAAGAAGTTATCCATTACCTAAAAATGTGAAAATGACAAGTATTACTTGGCATGCGACCAGAAAAGAATTTCAGTTATCACAATACAGTGGTACCTCGGGTTACATACGCTTCAGGTTACAGACTCCACTAGTGGTGCTTCAGGTTAAGAACCGTTTCAGTTACGCTGCCAATAAAGCGTAATATGAGCTTGTCATCGTTCTTTGTTAAAAGATGCTTAGAGGCATATTACCTACATCATAATGGGTCCAAAGTTGCATTCCTGCTGAGCTTATGCGGAAGACAGTGGAGAAAAACTGCTCTTTTTCAAAGTACTCCGGGATCTGAATATCATCTGCCAGCAGAGGAAACTGCTTTCTGAGATCTGCAATCTCCTGAAACAAAAACAAAGAATAAAGGGAGGAGTCATATTTAAGGTTTTCTATAAAGTGTCCGATCCAAGGGGAAAGGGTGGAAATCACTGGGACACTACATACAGGCATGATCTCATTCCTCAGCAGGTGCTGAGAATAATTAAGGAGCAGATCCATCTGTATTTCTTCCCACATAAACATGAGGGGCTATTGGAAACTCGACTGAATATTTGACTTAGTAGATGAACTAGTAAAAAGGTTAAAGGGACCCCTGACCATTAGGTCCAGTCGTGACCAACTCTGGGGTTGCGGTGCTCATCTAGCTTTATTGGCCGAGGGAGCTGGCGTACAGCTTCTGGGTCATGTGGCCAGCATGACTAAGCCGCTTCTGGCGAAACCAGAGCAGCGCACAGAAATGCCGTTTACCTTCCCGCTGGAGTGGTACCTATTTATCTACTTGCACTTTAACATGCTTTCAAACTGCTAGGTTGGCAGGAGCAGGGACCGAGCAACTGGAGCTCACCCTGTCGCGGGGATTCGAACCGTTGACCTTCTGATCAGCAAGCCCTAGGATCTGTGGTTTAACCCACAGCGCCACCCATGTCCCTAGATGAACTAGTACAAGCTGCCAAAAAAGGCCATTTTGTTTGACAAGGATAAATTGGGTCCTTGAGCCATAATAACCAGGGTTGTTCGTGGTCTGTGTTTGGATAAATAAGGCACAATATGATGTGTATGAATGCGGTAATTGTGTGTACGTTTTGCATCTTAAAAAAAGCCCCAAACACCGCGTTCAATTCCAAACCCTGCAGAAACCGGGGTTTGTTTTTTGCAAGGGGGCAGGAGAGGTACGAGTAGATTAGGAACATCTGGCTAGAATAACATGGTTGAAGTTTGCGTAGGAAACATTCCACATTCTTCAGAACCAGTAGCGTCTTTTGCAAACACTACTTGTACACTTTCAGATCAATCTCCAAAACCATATGAATCAGCAGGACCGGATTTAGGTTTGATGAGGCCCTCAGCTACTGAAGGTAATGGGGCCCTTTATATGTCCAGCTGTCCTTTGTCAACAACAAATTGTCACTGTTTTTTGTGTTGAACATATGCTATATGGTAATTTATGAACCTAATCGGTATCTAAAGCCATTTGCACATAACCAATAGGAGACTACACAACACAAAACACTGTTGCTGTATGTAGGTTTTAGTTTATTTCTTTTTTAAAGGTTTTTCCCCTTTAAATATATTTGGGGGCCCCAAGAGAGTGGGGCCCTAAGCTATAGCATGTTAGGTAAAGGTAAAGGGACCCCTGACCGTTAGGTCCAGCCGTGGCCGACTCTGGGGTTGCGGCGCTCATCTCGCTTTATTGGCCGAGGGAGCCGGCATACAGCTTCCGGGTCATGTGGCCAGCATGACTACGCCGCTTCTGGCGAACCAGAACAGCACACAGAAACGCTGTTTACCTTCCCCCTGGAGCGGTACCTATTTATCTACTTGCACTTTGACGTGCTTTCGAACTGCTAGGTTGGCAGGAGCAGGGACCGAGCAACGGGAGCTCACCCCGTCGCGGGGATTTGAACCGCCAACCTTCTGATTGGCAAGTCCTAGGCTCTGTGGTTTAACCCACAGCGCCACCCACATCCCTTATAGCATGTTAAGCCTATACATAAATCCAGGACTGTGAATCAGGGAGGACTGTGACAGGGAATGGTCCTCATGAATCTCATCCAGCATTTGGTGCCTACATGCCCTCTAAATGAGTGAAGAGGCTTCAGTCAATTCTCCCAACCACCCCCATCAGATCCAAACTGCCCTCTTTTCTTTTTTAAGACAAGACATATTCCAATGAAGTGTTTTATAGGAAAGCAAAGGAACACTCCTTAAGAAGAGACACCATTACTCACTTTCCTTGGGTCTTCTCCCAGGGTTCGCAAATAATATTTTTCATCCTTAAGAAAGACAGAAGTCATTTCAATGAACACACATCAACATTTTGCTGTGGGTCACTAAATTAAAAGACACCTGCTTCTTGGGAGAAAAGCAATGGCAAACCTAGACAGCATCTTAAAAAGCAGAGGCATCACCTTGCCAACAAAGGTCCGTATAGTTAAAGCTATGGTTTTCCCAGTAGTGATGTATGGAAGTGAGAGCTGGACCATAAAGAAGGCTGATCACCGAAGAATTGATGCTTTTGAATTCTGGTGCTGGAGGAGACTCTTGAGAGTCCCATGGACTGCAAGAAGATCAAACTGATCCATTCTGAAGGAAATCAGCCCTGAGTGCTCACTGGAAGGACAGATCCTGAAGCTGAGACGCCAATACTTTGGCCACCTCATGAGAAGAGAAGACTCCCTGGAAAAGACCCTGATGTTGGGAAAGATGGAGGGCACAAGGAGAAGGGGATGACAGAGGACGAGATGGTTGGACAGTGTTCTCGAAACTACCAGCATGAGTTTGACCAAACTGTGGAAGACAGGAGTGCCTGGCATGCTCTGGTCCATGGGGTCACGAAGAGTCGGACATGACTAAATGACTAAACAGCAACAACAAATGGCTTGATCGATCCAGTCTAATTTGCTAAACTGATGGGTTTTTCCCCCTGTTGTTTGCTGAAGAAATGGAACATTGTTTAGAAACAGCGTGAATCAACGTAAGCAAGGTCCTGACATCTTGGACAATTATTTACTCATTTAGATTTAAAGCCCATCCAACAGTAGCTATTTAATTAGCATTCATTCTGATTTGTTTGCATCAAAGCAACTGTTCACCTCACACTTTGCAATGCATTTTCCAGTCACTTTCCTTCTGTGAGGCACTGCAATCCTGCACACACAAACACATACCTGGGAGTACTTACTTATGAGTAGACAGTCCTTGTACTGGTATAATGCAACCCTGCCCACAGTTACTTGAGAGTAAGAACCACCCACACCCAGTAGAATTTACAGTGAAGTACAGTTCTCATCTCACATTTTAAGGCATTTCGCAGGATTAATATTTTGAATTTCAACCTACACCTCCCCCCAAAAAAGCCGTATCTCAGTGTAATTACAATATCACAGTCTTACCTCTGAAATAAAGTAATCTGTATGTTTGGCTTCAGCAGCTCTCCTTATGAATACATCGAATGGTAACGTTCTGAAATAAAAATATATTTAAATTAAAACTCTCCAGGCGTTTCACATGGAATAGGACTTTTACCAGATATGGGGCACCATTGCAATAACAACTCCAAATAGATTGCTTTGCTTTTTAAAACCCACAAAGCTAAATGGGGGGGGCATGGGTGTGTGGAACCCACTGCAAATTGCTTAACTGGCTTATATTTATACTGTTCGTTGATTTATGTTTTTAGCTTTGCACAGCATCGGTGTTTTTAATGTTTCATTTATGTTGTGTCATGTTAATACTGGCAAGGAAACGTGTCAATGGACTTAACTCTAAGTGCATTCCTTTAGGATTGTGCTATGAGCCCCGCTGTTTACAATGGAAATAATTACAAGTAACCCCGACACACCAAATTTGTGGTTTTCAATTATGCTGGGGCATTATATTAAAAAACCAAGGCTCTCATTTTCTTTTACACGGAGCAGCCTGAAGTTTAAGTAAGAGCACACAATGTCCTCCTTTGGTGTTTAAATGGGTCACGAGGATAGGAACTGTCTAAAACAGCTTAGGAATTTCACAGGCAAATGATAATGGACAATTGGATAAACTGGATCTTGGTTGGTTCACTGGGGAAGAAGGGGCGATTATTCAGAGCCACAGCGGAACAAAAAGGTCTGTGCATCAAGGGTCGTGAGGTGGGAATACAGCAATTAGGCTTTTTTCATCTCCGCCAAGCTAAGCAGTTGGCCCCTTATCTCTCTCGCCCTGACCTAGCCACTGTGATCCATGCGACGGTCACCTCCAGACTGGATTATTGTAACTCGCTCTACGTGGGGCTGCCCTTGAGACTGACCCAGAAACTCCAGCGGGTGCAGAATGCTGCAGCGAGACTCCTTACGGGGTCCTCGCTGCGAGATCACATTCACCCGGTGCTATACCAGCTGCACTGGCTCCCGGTGGAGTATAGGATCAGGTTTAAGGTGCTGGTTTTAACCTTTAAAGCCCTATACGGCCTAGGACCCTCGTACCTACGGGACCGCCTCTCCTGATATGCCCCACAGAGAAACCTACGGTCTGCAAATAAAAACATCCTCAAGGTCCCAGGCCTCAGAGAGGTTAGGCTGGCCTCAACTAGAGCCAGGGCCTTCTCGGCTGCGGCTCCAATCTGGTGGAATGCTCTGTCACAAGAGACTAGGGCCCTGCGGGACCTGACATCTTTCCGCAGGGCCTGCAAGACAGAGTTGTTCCACCAGGCCTTTGGTCAGGGCGCAGCCTGACTCCCTCCTCTGGCAACCTGCACAGAATTTTGCCTAATCGGTTGCCATCAATTTGATTTTAATTAATTTTTATAATGAAATATTTTTAGAATGTGTGATTATTCAACTGTTTTATTTGATTATTTGATTGTTGTTAGCCGCCCTGAGCCCAGCTTCGGCTGGGGAGGGCGGGATATAAATAAATTTTTTATTATTTATTATTATTATTGAAAAGCAGTTCCAACAATTCAAGAAAAAACACTCCGGGTAGCAGAACGCTCCCAAGTAAAGGTAAAGGTACCCCTGCCCGTACGGGCCAGTCTTGACAGACTCTGGGGTTGGTGCGCCCATCTCACTCAAGAGGCCGGGGGCCAGCGCTGTCCGCAGACACTTCCGGGTCACGTGGCCAGCGTAACATCGCTGCTCTGGCGAGCCAGAGCCGCACACGGAAATGCCATTTACCTTCCCGCTAGAAAGCGGTCCCTATTTATCTACTTGCACCCGGGGGTGCTTTCGAACTGCTAGGTTGGCAGGCGCTGGGACCGAGCAACGGGAGCGCACCCCGCCGCGGGGATTCGAACCGCCAACCTTTCGATCGGCAAGCCCTAGGAGCTGAGGCTTTTACCCACAGCGCCACCCGCGTCCCAGAACGCTCCCAAACCCAGTGCCAAAAAAGTTGTTTTTTCATTTTTCATTTTAACAAAACTGATTTTTTTCAGTTAATTGGTGGTAGATCAAATCAATTTTAAACTTCCAGTCATGGAAACTTATCAGAAACCTGTTACAATACATACTGTAATTGTCATATAATCAGACATGCTACTGTCAATTACACTGCTTATATAAAGGGTATGTGCTGTTCTGGGGGTTCTCCTGAATCCCATTGCGCTAGTCACTGTCCAAACTTTTTTCAAAGAGGGCCAGATTTGATGAAGTGAAAGGCTGTGAGGGCCAACCAAAAGGCCAACCAAGCTTTTTTTAGGGTTGAAGTTTTGGGATTTGAAGGGGCCGGATTAAACCAACCGGTGGGCCAGATTAGCCCCCCCCCCCAAAAAAACAGACTTTGGACATGCCTGCGCTAGTGGGATTTCTTGTGCTGGCTTCTGCTAATGGAATTGGGTAGTTGAATCCCACCTGTTTCCTAAACAGATTAGCTCTTTTGCATGTCACCTTCCAGTTGTTGCTGAACTACAGTTGACCATTGGCCATGCTGGCTGAGGTTGATGAGAATCATAGTCCAAAATCATCTGGAGGGCAAGACACTGGCTACCCCTGGCCCTTAGCCCATAAACCCCATTGCTTATTTTCCCCAAGCTCTCTAGGACCCACTGTACCGCTTCTTCACCACATACCCAGCTCACACACTCTCTCTCCCTCCCTCTCTGTCACACACAGGAACATGGATTCTCAGCACAATCTGGAACCCCTACCTTTCAACAATGCTATTAGGATCACCCATTTTAGAACTCCAAGTCTTGATTCTTTATTGGCCTACTACCAACAAGACATGACACAGGTATATACAGTGGTACCTCGGGTTACATACGCTTCAGGTTACAGACTCCGCTAACCCAGAAATAGTGCTTCAAGTTAAGAACTTTGCTTCAGGATGAGAACAGAAATTGTGCTCCGGCCACGCGGCGGCAGCAGGAGGCCCCATTAGCTAAAGTGGTGCTTCAGGTTAAGAACAGTTTCAGGTTAAGTACGGACCTCTGGAACGAATTAAGTACTTAACCTGAGGTACCACTGTATAGCATTCAAAGTGTTGGTGCTGACCTTTAAAGCCCTAAACGGCCTCGGCCCAGTATACCTGAAGGAGCATCTCCACCCCTGTCATTCAGCCTGGACACTGAGGTCCAGCTCCAAGGGCCTTCTGGCGGTTCCCTCACTGCGAGAAGTGAAGTTATGGGGAAACAGGCAAGAGAGCCTTCTAACTCTGACAGGTGGGTGGGACCACTAGTCAATTACCTGATGTCATAAAGATGGCAGGTGATTGACACCTGTCAAAGTTCAAAGGTCATTGGCACAGCAGTTAATCAGCTGATTGGCACTTAAATGGAATCTCCTGAAAAGAGAGCATTTCTGTCTGCTAAGAACATGGTTGGGATTCAGAAACCATAGAATCATAGAATCATAGAGTTGTAATAGACCACAAGGGCCATCGAGTCCAACCCCCTGCCAAGCAGGAAACACCATCAGAGCACTCCTGACATATGGTTGTCAAGCCTCTGCTTAAAGACCTCCAAAGAAGGAGACTCCACCACACTCCTTGGCAGCAAATTCCACTGTCGAACAGCTCTTACTGTCAGGAAGTTCTTCCTAATGTTTAGGTGGAATCTTCTTTCTTGTAGTTTGGATCCATTGCTCCGTGTCCGCTTCTCTGGAGCAGCAGAAAACAACCTTTCTCCCTCCTCTATGTGACATCCTTTTATATATTTGAACATGGCTATCATATCGCCCCTTAACCTCGTCTTCTCCAGGCTAAACATGCCCAGCTCCCTTAGCCGTTCCTCATAAGGCATCGTTTCCAGGCCTTTGACCATTTTGGTTGCCCTCCTCTGGACACGTTCCAGTTTGTCAGTGTCCTTCTTGAACTGTGGTGCCCAGAACTGGACACAGTACTCCAGGTGAGGAGTTTACCCCCAGCACCTTAAATCCAAACTGCATCCTCTGGAAAGAAAGAAAAATGCTCTGTTTTTAAACGGAGCGTATTTTCTCTGTCCAGTGGAAGCAGCTTGGCTTCAAAGTGCTGGAGGAAGCTCTCTGAATCAAAGCCACTTCCTGCAGCCCCCCTCATGCAGCCCATCACAGCTGATTGTCTGTGCCTGCAGAGTCTGCACTGCGCTTGAAGCCCCTACAAATAGCGGACAGTTCCTTCAAAGTTCCTTGCAAAGGGCTTTGCAGGTGCCCCTTTCTGGCCCAGCCACTACTTTACCTCCTCCACAGCTCATGAAGCAAGGCCTAATTAGGCCTACAGTTCAGAGGTTCCACACTCCTGGTATATATATTTCCCAGTTCTGGTTTGAAAAAGCCACAAAACCCAATTGTGATGTCATGACAATAGGAAAACAACAGGGTGAGTGTACAGAAGAAAGCACAAGTCATCAGCAAAGTGGTCCAATCCGCACAATATTTGAATGTATCGCAAAGCCACATAGGCACGGAACTGCTTTTGCCTTGGTGTCCCATAAGATGTGAAGGCCTGAAAATTAAACTGAGGAGCAGAAGAGGTCACAGATAGCACGGGGTGATATATCAATATATCGTCCATATCTTGATATTGGTTTCATAGTTTTTGACCTGGCAATATATCGCAAATCATGGTGTGTGTTAGGGCTGAGCAATATATCGTCCAAAACCAGTTTCAAGTCCATATGATATTGGTTTTATAATTTTTGCCCTGACAATATATTGCAAATCATGGTGTGTGTGTGTGTGTGATGCCAAAATCAAATGTGGGGGGAAAAGATGAAGGCAGCCAATGCCTCTACATAGCTCCAACCTTATTTCAAACATTGTGATACAGTGGTACCTCGGGTTAAGTACTTAATTCGTTCCGGAGGTCTGTTCTTAAACTGAAACTGTTCTTAACCTGAAGCACCACTTTAGCTAATGGGGCCTCCCTCTGCTGCCGCGCCGCCGGAGCACAATTTCTGTTCTCATCCTGAAGCAAAGTTCTTAACCTGAAGCACTATTTCTGGGTTAGCGGAGTCTGTAACCTGAAGCATATGTAACCTGAAGTGTATGTAACCTGAGGTACCACTGTATATCAGTATGTCACAATGTTTAGCTGGTGATATATCACATTGAAAACCAGATATCACCCACCACAGAACATCAGGTCAACCATTCTTGGAAGGGAGAAAATCTCTTACAGCTTCAAAAGCAGAACAAGATAACAACTCATAATTCAGAATGCCATTTGCAAAGTGAAAGCACAGATCCCGTATAAAAAGTTTCAAGCAGAAGTATTGAGTCTCTAAAAGTCTGGAGCATTCTTCTAACAGCAGAGAAAGTATTGAAACGGAATACCTATACAGAAAGTTCTTACTGAGGAAGTCCATCTGTGGCACCGCAGAAACATGAACCTTGACTTCTTTATTTCCTGATGCTTGACTGAGGTAATCCACGGTCCACTTGGTCATGCAAGGGCCCAAATCAATATCTTTCAGCACTACTGGCTTTCTCTAAGAATTAAAAAATATATATTATTGCAGAACATTTTTGCAATTTTACTACCTTCTACCAACAACCATTCTCAACAGTGCGGACAGTTATGACATCTAAGAATATACTGGCATAATGTTACTAATCAATGCAAATACATACATGCTTTCAAACTTTACATCTTTGTTGAGTTTCAACTTAAAAATGCTGAAAGTCAATATGAGCGTCATGTTGACGTTGTGATGTTCTGGTAAAATACAGGGCAGGGCGGGGCGGTTGGTGGATGATTTTTTCCCCCACCTGGTGCTGAAGTAACTAGAAAGCAATCCATTACAACCTATTGCAGCCTAACTGGAGGACCCTTCTGGAATTTGTCACCCACACACACATGAATTTGTAAATTTGTTTGGGCTTGGCTACCCAGGGCTTACGCAGGTGGTGCTGTGGGTGAAACCACAGAGCCTAGGACTTGCTGATCAGAAGGTCGGCTGTTCGAATCCCTGTGACAGGGTGAGCTCCCATTGCTCGGTCCCTGCTCCTGCCAACCTAGCAGTTCGAAAGCATATAAAAAGTGCAAGTAGATAAATAGGTACCGCTCCAGCAGGAAAGTAAACTGTGTTTCCGTGCGCTGCTCTGGTTCACCAGAAGCGGCTTAGTCATGCTGGCCACATGACCCGGAAGCTGTACGCCAGCTCCCTCAGCCAGTAAAGCAAGATGAGCGTCGCAACCCCAGAGTCGGCCACGACTGGACCTAACGGTCAGGGGTCCCTTTACCTTACCCACCCAGGGCTTAAATGCATGACCTTTCAAACACATGCATTTGGAGAGGACATCCTGTGGTGTTGCTGTTTTACAGAAGGCGAAGAAGTATCATGGCAATCAGTCCGACGGTTTTGGTTTTGTTTTTTTAAGAGTTCTACAAAAATATAAAGCTGATTATCGTTACAACGCTGGTAACCAGAAAACCAGGGAAAGTGCGATTTTTTTCCCCTACCAGAGGGTAGATGTCCTGTAGAAAGCGCTCCCGGGTGACCCCGGAGTACTGAGCCAGGGGGATGACTCGCTGCCCCTCCATGCCGGGACCAGATCCTCTCTCCCTGTCGTTTCCGCGATCGGGTTGCTTCCTCCAGGGAAACCAGGCTTTCCAGGCCAAGAAAACCGCGCGGTTATTTTCTCCTTTCGCAAGGGGAAGGTGGGATAAAGCAGACTCCTGCCTGGAAACCCCTCGCGAGGCGCTTCCAGCCCAGCGCGTAGTAGACGATCCTGGGCTGGGTCAGCTCAGTCCGTAGGGCAGGGTTCCCCAAACGTGGGTCTCCAGCTGATTTCGGACTACAACTCCCATCATCCCTAGCTAGGAGGACCCAGTGGCCAGGGATGATGGGACTTGTAGTCCGAAAAAAGCAGCTGGACACCCAAGTTTGGGAAACCCTGCAGCGGAGCATGATCGAGCGCTATGCTAGGCTAAAACAGTATTTCCCAAGCTTGGGTCTCCGGCGGCTTTTTTTTTTGGACTACAACTCCCACCATCCCTAGCAAGCAGCTGATTTTGGACTACAACTCCCATCATCCCTAGCGAGCAAGACCGGTGCTCGGGGATTGTAGTCCGAAAACAGCAGGAGTTTGGGCTAAAAGATCCCTGCTTTGCGAGGGTTTGAGGGTGAGATCGTCCCTTCCGACGCTTCTATGGCTCGGGCCTAAGGCGCTGAAGGAGCGGCGCCCGGAACCTTCCTCCCGGCGGAACCTTCCGCCCGGCGCTCTCTCTCTCCGCCCGGACCCCTTTCGCGGCCGGACTCCCGCGGGATGACGGGAGGGCTGAGGCGGGGAGCGATGGCGCTGCCCGTGGGCGCCTCCCGCAGCCGCTGCCCGTGGGCCCTGCGGGTCCCTGCGGCCCACCCGCGCCGGTACTTCCTGCTCCAGGCGGCGGACCAGGCCAAGCCCGGCCGGGCCGGGTTCCCGCGGCCTCCCTCTCCCCGCAGGGCCGCCCTTGCGGCGCCGCCCCGCTTGCCCGTTGCCCCCGCGCGCCCCTGCAGCGGCGGCCCCGAGCCCGGCGGGCGGCGGAAGGCCGGCGTGGTGGTGGTCGGGGTGCCCAACCCGCTCATGTGGCTCCGCACCCGCCTCTACTTCTTCCTCGTCCGCGCCTACTTCGACCAGGAGTTCAGCGTCCACGAGTTCACGGAAGGGGCCAAGCAGGTGAGGAGGGGCTTTGGGCAGGAGGCGAGGGAAGGAGGGCCTCCTCAGGGGGTCAGGATCCACGGGGCAGCACGTCTTCCTCCCCATCGGCCCTTGCCAGGGCCGGATTTTACGTACAGTGGTACCTCAGGTTACATACGCTTCAGGTTACAGACTCCCAGAAATACTGCTTCAGGTTAAGAACTTTGCTTCAGGATGAGAACAGGAATCGTGCTCCGGCGGCACGGCAGCAGCAGGAGGCCCCATTAGCTAAAGTGGTGCTTCAGGTTAAGAACAGTTTCAGGTTAAGAACGGACCTCCGGAACAAATTAAGTACTTAACCCGAGGTACCACTGTATAAGCTAAACAAGCTATAGCTCAGGCCCCCACTCTCTTAAGTAAAGGTAAAGGGACCCCTGACCATTAGGTCCAATTGTGGCGCTCATCTCGCTGTATTGGCCAAGGGAGCCAGCGTACAGCTTCCGGGTCATGTGGCCAGCATGACTAAGCTGCTTCTGGCGAAACCAGAGCAACTCACAGAAACGCCATTTAACTTCCCGCTGGAGTGGTACCTATTTATCTACTTGCACTTTGACGTGCTTTCGAACTGCTAGGTGGGCAGGAGCAGGGACCAAGAAACGGGAGCTCACCCCGTTGCGGGGATTTGAACCGCTGACCTTCTGATCGGCAAGTCCTAGGCTCTGTGGTTTAACCCACAGTGTCACCCACGCCACCTGCATCCCACTCTCTTGGGGGGTCTCCAAAATAATTAAAGGGGGGAAACTGGATGTACATTTCCAAAATATAAGATAAAAAACAAAAAAATAAAACCTACACACAGCAACAGTGTTGTGTGTTGTGTAGGTGTAGGCTCCTATTTGTTTTGTTCAAATGGTTAAAACCAGATACAGATACCTGTTAAGTCCATAAATTACCATTTAGCATATATTCAACACAAAAAACAGCAACAATTTGTTGTTGACAAAGGACAGCTGGATATATAAAGGGCCCCATTACCTTCAGTAGCTTGGGGCCTCATCAAACCTAAATCTGGCCCTGCTTGTCGCTGATGCAGATCTTCCCTTGCCCCTTCTTTTCTGGCAGAAAGGGGGCATCATTTTGGGATCCGCCTCAGGCGCCAAAATGTCTTGAGTCAACCCTGGGATATGGCGACCTTGTCTTTCTTCTTCTTTGGCAATCACTTTTAGCCGAGTAAGGTTGTTTTCCATGAACACGGTGTGAGTCCGTGACTGCGGAGGCCAATTCTGGATCCGCATGTCCTTCCACAGAGGGGACATAGGTTTCCGGATAAGAGTTGATCATGGTGAGGGTTTGCCAAGCGTGCCTTCCTCTTAGCACATTTCTCCCTTTCGTCCTGAGGTCGAGCGTCTTCAAAGTCCATGGCACTTTTGGTAGAGGCTATTCTACAATTGGAGCACTCGCAAGCCAGTGTTTCCTAGTTGTTGGTGTTTATGCTACATTTATACCATTCATGGTTCGCTAGGGACACTGGTGGCTCTGTGGTCTAAACCACTGAGTCTCTTGGGCTTGCCGATTGGAAGTTCAGCAGTTCGAAACCACACGATGCGGTGAGCTCCTGTTGCTCTGTCCCAGCTTCTGCCAACCTAGCAGTTCGAAAGCACGCCAGTGCAAGTAGATAAATAGGTACCACTGCGGTGGGAAGGTAAGCGGCATTTCCATGCGCTCTGGTTTCCATCACGGTTGTCCCATTGTGCCAGAAGCGGTTTAGTCAAACTGGCCCCGTGATCCGGAAAGAAGTCTGCGGACAAACGTTGGTTGCTTTGACCTGAAAAGCAAGATGAGCACTGCAACCCCATAGTCGACTTTGACTGGACTGGACTTAACTGTCCATGGGTCCTTTACCTTTTTTTACACATGGTACAGTGGTCCTCTTACCATGCCATTGGGCCTCCTCAACGCAGCAAAGCATAAAAGTACAAAACTGTAGAGTTGGAAGGGACGACGAGGGTCATCTAGTCCAACCACCTGAAATGCAGGAATCTTTTGCCCGATGCGGGGCTTGAACCCACAACCCTGTGATTAAGTGTCTCATGCTCTATTGATTGAGCTAAGGCAGAAGTTTGACGGGTGAAGCTGCCCAAGCTCTGACTTCTTGAAGAAAAAGGCAACCTTGCAAATGAGCCCACAGGGGTTAATGGCTTGTCCTCTCTCAAAACCAGCAACTACTGAAGTAGCTTGTTTTTCTATGCTGTCTGCAGAGGAAAGGTAACCTATCCCCCTCCCCGCCTAGCATGAAAATCCAAGTGGCAAGCATTTTAGCAAGCTAGTGTTGTTATTTATTTATTTCATATCCTGCTCGGTTGTACAAAAACAAGAACAAAGTGGTTTACCAAAATGATAAAACAATAAAATCAAGAAACGATTACAACCATACATTAAAACATTACAAAAGTTAAAACATTAAAAAGATATTACACTACCTAGTAAGGTAAATAAGTGAAATTATCTTAGATCAAATAAAGTGGTGGAGGAAGGATGCAATAGTCCAGCCCACTTTCGCCAGCCTTCTTGGTTTCAGTGCTGGTTGTGGTTCTACTTTCTCTTCAGTTACTAAGGAAGCCAATGGAATAATGAGAAAACTGTGCTACTTCCACCTAGCAGCCTACTCATTCCTGGTTACATGTGGCAAGTTGTTAAGTGTAAGTCTCTTACAAGTGAAACCCATGGAGGGTACCAGTGATAACTAAATGGCCCCTCTGGGCACATGGACTGTATTGCTTTGAGTATTAGACGCCAAGGAAAAACAGTGATGGATGTTGAATTAGATGAATCCTTGGTCTGATCCAACAGGATCCTACCTCTTTTTCTCTGCCTCCCTACCACAACTACTCCAAAAGTCTAGTGATGAAGACTGCAGTGACTATGTCATTCCTTAGTTTTCAGGATATTGTTAAAGGTACAGCAGTCAAGCTAAGAAAGAAAGGTGGCATCCCTAACTCTGCTTGAAATTCTTCTCTATTGATCCTTTTTCTACTGCACCACCTCTTGGTTGCGTAGGAGAGCCCTTCTTCCTTTTCTCTGGCACTATCCATCATTTGAGTCCGTTTTCAAGTTGCACAAACAGGACACCATTAAGCAGTCTAGGCAACTGAGCATAAAATAACCACCACTCCCTGTTTGCCAGTGCTTTGTTTGGGAATATAGCTGAACAACAAGAGCACATCGATTTGTGAGACACAATATGTACTTAATACACAGAGAGAATACTGTGAATTTACTTCTGAGTAAAAAATTGATAATTGTTTGTGTGTCCTGTCTTCTAGGCTTTTGCTCTTGTTTCAAGGCTAATTTCTCAGTGTAAATATGATCTACTGGAGGAGCTTGTATCAAAAGAGGTAAATGTTTATTTCCATTGTTATGGTGAAACTGATATATCCATCGTTCCTTAAGCTGACGTAGTAGACCAAGGCTAGAATATATTATTTGGGTCGTGTTTACCTTCATCTACTTAAGCAGGAATAGCAACTGACACCTCAAAAAAATGGGTTTAGCACCTGAGCTTCTGGGAACAGAAAGCAGGCTGTATCCTCCCTCCTCCGTGCCCTGCAGTTTATAACCTACTCACTGCCACTTCGTCCTCTCTTCATTCTTTCTTCAGCCCCCCCCCCCCAATTTAACTCCCTCAGTTCTACTGCCATCTCTTAAAGAGGCATATGAGCCAAGTCACAGGTCCATAGCTCTTTCAGTGGGAAGGCTCATTCCTGGAAGATGTAGTACTACTAGGAAGACCATCTGTGAACACATGCAGAGTACTTCTCCCCTCATCAGTGAGCAATCTCCACCAACAGCCACTCATGGGGGGAAAGGATCCCAAGTTAGAGACTGTAACCTTTATGTAGGGACTAAGTTGTGAGACCTGATTTTCTCAGTTAAGCACCTTGTGAAAAGGAGTGTGCCTGGTGCCCAAACTCAGCTCCCTGTAGAGCACATCCTTGGAGATCCTGCCGTCTATGTTAACAATGATCCCTTCTCAATCAGATGCTGCAGGTGCTGAAGGAGAAGCTTTCTTCACTCTCCGAAAGCCACAGAAGTGCCCTAGCTGCCGACGTGGATGAAATAATGTACACCACAGCAGGAGATGTTGGCATTTACTATGACGACAGTGGTATGCAACCGGTTCAGAATGCTTTACTTTAAATCCTTTGGCCGCTTTTGGGAAACACTTATCATCCGTTCTCTGTGATA